CTCTCTCTCTCTCTCTCTCTCTCTCCCTCTCTATGTATCTCTCCCTCCCCCCCGTCCCTCTGACCGCATTTTATGTTCTTATCGTTTGGTTCTCTTCAGGAATCCTGCAAAACGTGCTTCTCTCCTTTTCTCTGAAATCAAATTGGAGCGACTTGTTCAGCGTGACGTCACACCAAAGCTCTGGCTTCCTCAGCTGCCTTGATGGGGTGCGAGTCTTGTCCCTGTACTGGATCATATATGAACACGTTATAAAATATACCGCAAACTACGCAGGTACATTTGTTTTGAAACTGCAGGTACAGTTATTTTGTAAATTCAGGTACAGTTGTTTAGACAATGCAGGCATGTTACAGATGTTTTGAAATATGCAGAGCGCAAATAAGGTACAAGTGTTATCAAAATGCAGGTACAGTTGTTTTGTAAAAATTTAGGTACAATTGTTTAGAGACAATACAGGCATGTTACAGATGTTTTGAAATAATGCAAGGTGCAAAAAAGTACAGGTGTTATCAGAATGTAGGTATAGTTTCTGTATAAGATACATGTATAACAGAATAGTACGCGGGGTTGTTATAAAAAATGTAGGTACGGTTGCTGTGAAAATAAATTTTGTTTTTGTTTTGGTAAGTGTTTTACGGCACTCGCAACTGCATAATAAAGTCATATGAGTGCGCGGGGCATATTAAACATTTTCAGTTTGGTGAGATTTAATTTTGGTTTTTGCCCGTGGGGTGGCCGAAGCCTACTCTTGTCGATTTTGGACCACCGAGGGATCTTCAACGTGCGCAGCTTGCACACCGGACTTCTGAGATTTTTCACCATTATCCGAAAAGGCTAGGTGATAGATCTTACATACCCTAAGATTAGGGGTGTGGCTGAATGATAGCAGCAAAAAGGAGCCTAGGAGTAGCAGCAGAAAGCCTGCAGAATGGTTCATGAGCCAAGAGGAGGGGGCAAAAGAAGTGAGGGGGTTTGTGCAGAAAGTGGAAGACGAAAGCAGACGTCAGGTTAGAGAGCAGGAAATGAGATGAAAGGAGAACATGTAGGAGAAGAAAATTGTCCATCGCTGTAAGATTTCGAACCCAGGACATATTAAATTGAAGGCGAACACCCTAGACA